AGAAAACCACAGATCAGTATCTCTCATAAGCATCGATGCAAACATCCTCAACAAAATATTAGCAAATTGAGCCCAACAGTGTATAAAAAATTATACAACACAACCAAGTGGGATGTATCCCAGGTATGCAAGCTTGGTTCAATATTTAAAAATCAACTAATGTACTCCATCACATCAACAAGCAAAAGAGGGGAAAAAAATCACACACTCATATCCATAGATGCAGAAAGAAACTCTGTCCCACCCCTTGGGAGGCTGATCATGTCGAGAGGAGGTGAGGGGAAGGTAGGGGGAGCAGAGGGAGGTGGGGGATAAGGCAGAGGCAGGGGGGTGAGTGGGCGGGGTCTGTGAGGTGACTGAGGCTGGAATCAGTGTTCCTGGGACTGGCTTAAGGTGAAGGAAGCAACCAAATGTGAACCGAAAGAGTCAAACCTGCCAAGAAAGACTGTAACCCTCAGGCACAGGGTGATAAGCCTGGGGCTCCCAGACCTGAAGAACTGCAAAAACTGGCCTCGGTGTCAGCCCCCAGGAAGGCAGCCAGGGCCACCACCGCTCCAATCCTGGCCTGACACTTTGACCCCCTGTAACCTGCCGCTTCCACCTGAGAATCTCAGCAGCTGGCTGCCCGTGAATAAGGCTGCTGTGGGCAGTGCACACTGTTTTGCAGCTGCATCCACCCCAAGGGAGGGGCACCATTTTCTTCATTCAAAGACACAACGGCTGGGCTTCCCTGGTGGCGCAGTGGTTGAGAGTCCGCCTGCCGATGCAGGGGACACGGGTTCGTGCCCCGGTCCGGGAGGATCCCACATGCCGCGGAGCGGCTGGGCCCGTGAGCCATGGCCGCTGAGCCTGCGCGTCCGGAGCCTGTGCTCCGCAACGGGAGAGGCCACAACAGTGAGAGGCCCGCGTACCGCAAAAAAAAAAAAAAAAAAAAGACACAACTGCTCACCAGGCTATGGGCCAGCTGGGCTGCGTGAACACCCAGAGACCCCTTTCAACGCCACCATCAAGAGGGATCACCTTTCACAACTTGGCACAGTTGTGCTCCCTCGCCTCCCATGATGCAAGCTCATCATGCCTCCATGAAGCCACAGAACATCAAACACTTTCAGGTCAGAAGCCCTTCCCCTGAGCATTATGGGGGCACTGGGCAGCCCACCCACCCCTGAGATTAGCCACTTCCGAGGTCACCATGAGTCCCTGGGCTGGAGACTTTGCTGGCTTCCTAGCTTCAGACCAACCTGCCCAGATGGGGCTCAGCTCTACCAGCAGCGGCCCTCCCCCACAATGGCTGGATGCCCCCTCACAATATGCTGGGACCCCTGGCACAGAACACAGAGGGATTGGAGCCAGGGAGAGGGAATGCCTGGACTTTTGGACTTCCTGCCATCACTCCCACATGGAACTTCCACAATACCGCGCAGAGGGATAGCCCATGAGTGAATGAATGAAGTCCAGCAAGGCTTTGAGCCCCTTCTCAAAGCCCTCTAGACACTCAGAGCCTCCTCCCCTTGAGTTAGAAGCCTATTCCCAGGCTAAGAAGAAAAGAAAATATCTGTGCCCCGCCTGAGTTCCAACGGGCCCCTACGCGGTGCCTGCCAGTGACCCAGCCCAGAGAGCACAGGAGGGGCCTTTGGGAAGGGTCTCCTGTCCCCTGGCATCCTGCTCCCCCAAGGCCAAGGCTTCACTCTCTGCTAGTCCTGCCAACCCCCGGTTCCTCCCCTGGCTGGCACTGGGGGAAGGAAATGCCTACAGTACACCTCGGTGGTAACAAGCCCTGTCCAAGCAGGGGTTCCCCTGAGCACGTGGTTCCCAGGGAGGGGATGGGCAGCAGGAAGCTTGGGACGCCCCCCCCACACACACACACACCTTGCCCCAGTGCCCACCAGGGCCAGGCCGCCCACCAGTGCTTCCCTTCCCCTGCCCATGCCAGCCCCACCTGAGCGGTCCAGACCTGCGGGTGGGGCCTGCCGCTGTCAGGCCACCAGTAGGACCTGAGAGGGAGGAGAAAGGGCGGGGCTGGCCGGCTGCTCTTAAGGCGGAGCTGGAGGTGAACTGCACCTCCCCCTACTCCTCACCTGGGCTCTGACAGCCTCTCTCTGTCCCAGAAGCCAGGAGTGAACACAGGAGTGTCTTGCCTGCCCGGGACACCAGGTAGGTGCCTTTATTCTTTAAGAAGAGAGAGAGGCTCAGCTTCTCCACGTCTCCTGGGGCTCGGAGTGAAGGTGGAGAGAAATGGCGGAGAGGCTGGGCATGAGCGGAAGATGGTCTCGGGACCACATACCCGAGTTCTGCACTTTGGGAGAACTTAATCTGTAGCCCTCAGTGTACAGATGAGAGAACCGTGGTCCAGGGAGGGGAAGAGGCTTGCCCGGGGGGGGGCCCCGAGGCTTGGGAAGGGAATGGACCCGGAATCCAGCCTCCTGCCTCCCAGCCCGGAGTCCCTGGGGGCTGGTCGTGAGCTGAGCCCCCGTGCTGGGCCCTTCAGAGAACACCAGGAATCCAGGGGGTGGCGGCATGGCCTGCACTGGTCCTGCGGGTCCCTGCCTGCTGTCCCAGGGTCTGCTTCAGTGGGTCTGGGTGGAGAGCATGGGACAATCAAAGTCACTCTTCGAGCAAGGGGGTGGAGTGGGGAATTGGGCTACTGGGGCAAGGAGCTTTGGGGGAGATGCAGCCTTCCTCCTCTGCCACCCTCCCTCCATTGACCTGGGCTTGTAGAAGGGAAAGAGTAAGTCAGGAGAAGAAGCTGGCAAAGAAATGGGTGAGGGGATTTGCCCAGGAATCAGGATCCCCCTGCCTCCAGAGCCCTTGGGAACAAAGAAAGAGATTCCGGTCCAGTGAGTGAGCGGGTCCTATAAAAAGGGGCCCTCCCTACCCACTACAGCCCGCCTACATACATACACACAGCACTGAGCCCAGGAACCTTCCCTTCACCTTTAGAGCAGGAAGGAAAGAGCTAGAGAAGTGTGCTGGTGGGAACAGGAGAGGGAAGATGTCCAGGAATAAAGGAGTGAGACCAGCCCTGGGAGGTCCAGTGGTGCTTCAGGGAGTGTTAGAAGAGTTTGAAGAAGATCCCAAGGGGCTGCCTGCCCTTTGCTCGATCCCAGGCCTGTCCCGCTGGGTTCCGGAACCCCAGAACAGGCAGAGAGAGGTGAAAGGGATCTTAAATCTATGAAGCAGTGGCGTAGAGTGTGGGACTCGGAGCCAAGACCACCTGGGTTCAAATCCCAGTTCCACTACTGGGTTCTGTGGGTTGTATGACCCCAGGCAAATCCCTTACCCTCTCCAGCCCCACAGGAAGAGTACCTTTTTCAAAGAACCATTGAGAAAATGAAATGAGTATGTTTTAAGTGTCTGTTATGATCACATTCCCATTATACAGTTGGGACAACTGAGGCCCAGAGAGGAACGGACACTTGCCCAACGTGGCACAAGATCACTTTCCAAATCAGTAGGCAGACATCCTGGGTCCGGGTCCTGGTTCTGGGGGAGGACCCAGGTCCCCAGTGTGCTCCCCAAGGACCGTAACCCCAGGCTCCTCTTTGAGGCCCAGCCAAAAACCCTGCAGGATGTGCTGAGATCCTGCCCTGACAAACCCAGGCCGCTTGGAGCCAAAGCTCCACGTCCTCAGCTGCCCCCAGAAAGGAGCTCGGAGGCCCGTTCCCTTCCACTGCCATTTTTAGACACGCTTCCCGAGCCTGGGATGCACCCGCCCCCTCCAGGACCTGGCCAAGGAGAAGTCTGGCAGCAGGGCTGGCAGGAGCCATGGGGGAGAAGAGGGTTCTGGCTTTTCTCATTAACTTACTGTGCGAACTTGGGGCAACTCACACCCCCTCTCTGGACCTCAGGTGTTCCTCGGCATTTGAACTCTGTGTGGTATAAGGAGCTAAGAGTCTAAAGTCCACAGCCTGCGTTTGAATCCCAGCTCTACCACTTTTCTGGATGTGTGGCCGATACAGATTTCTTAACCTCTCTGAATCTCAGTATCTTCATCTGTAAAATGGGCTGGTAATAGGGATGCAGTACTTCCTAGGGTTATGAGAGGATTAAAAAGAGTTACCATAGGGAAAATCAGTGCCTGGCACATGGTGAGTGCTCAAAAAAACCAGGAGCTATTATTATTTATTATTATGATGGTATTATATTCTATTGATATATAAGCCCTTATTTCCAAGTAATATTTAGAATTGTCCAACTGGTTTCACAAGCAACGCCTCGCTGGTTCCACACCACCCTCCAGGAGGGCACAAGGCAGGAATTCTTATTCCCATCTCACAAATGAGGAAACTGAGGGTCAGAGTTACACCTTAAGGAACTGGTTGAGCTGGGATTCGAATCCGAATCTTCAGACTCGAGAGTTCACATTCATTTCATTTGCCCCAGGCTGGTCGCAATGCCTTTTCCAACACTAGGGTCTGACTCTAAAGCAGGATGTGGTGGAGGCATCTTAGAAGAAGAGAGAAGAGGCGTTGGAGGGTACCTTGGTCGGGGTGGGGGTGGGGGGCAGTGAGGCTCAGAGCAGGCAGTGGTAACGCAACCAGCCTATCCCAGCTCCTTACAGGTTTCTCAGCAGCCTCTGTTCCAGAACCTCTTACTTCCTGTAAGAAACCACTAACATGTGGCGTTAAGGCTAGACAAGGGGAAGAACTTCCCACATAAGGGAAAGGAGGAAGTTGGGACATCTTTTTCCCAGATGAGCCCCCAGGGAGTGAATATCATCTGATGATGTCACTCTTCAGATCAAAACTGTTCTGTGGGAGCTTCCCTGGTGACACAGTGGTTGAGAGTCCACCTGCTGATGCAGGGGACGCGGGTTCGTGCCCCGGTCCAGGAAGATCCCACATGCCGCGGAGCAGCTGGGCCCGTGGGCCATGGCCGCTGAGCCTACGCATCCGGAGCCTGTGCTCCGCAATGGGAGAGGCCACAACAGTGAGAGGCCCGCATACCGCAAAAAAAAAAAAACTGTTCTGTGGCTCACCATTGCCCTTGGGGTTGAGTCAGCACTACTGAGCCCAGCCTGCAAGGCTCTGCAGGGTCTGGCCAGCCTGCCTTCCCCACCCCAACTTCCCCTCCATCCACCCTAGGTTCTCTCTGTTTCCCAGATGCTCAATATCTCCCCTGTCCATCAGGCCTCTGAATACACTTGCCTCCTCACCCCTACCTGGCTCGCCCAGCCAGCTCCTGCTTTTCCTTCTTGTCTCCCTTTATGTACCCCTTCCTCCAGGAAGTCCTCCCTGACCTCCCCAACTAGTGCCTACAGAGTCCCCTCTGCCTCCCCGCCTCCCCTCCTCCCCGATGGCACTGTTTATGATTGCTCACCTGCTTACCTGTCTGTTTCACCAGCTGGCCCACATGGAGTAGCAGCTAAGTGCAGGGGCCCTGACATCACGCAGTCTGGGGTCCAGTCCTGCTCTGACACCTGTTGGCCTGATGACCCTTGGGCAAGTTACTTACCTCTCTGTATCTCAGTTCTCCCATTATAAAATGGAATAATAATAGCATCTACTAACAGGGTTGTTATGAGGATTTTTAAAGGTTTTATGTGTAAATACTAGGGCATAGCTGCATAGTAATTACTCAGTAAATTTTAGCTAGTATGTATTTAATAAATAAGGCTGGGACATAGTAAGTAGCCAACAAACGTCTATTGAAGTTATTTTATTTAATCATCACTTGTATAATGTTTATTATGTGCTAGGCATATTCTAAACATATTACAAATATCAGCTCATTTTATAGATAAGGAAACCGAGGCACAGAGAAGTTAATTAACTTTCCCCACGTTGCACAGCTAGTAAGTGGTGGAGCCAGCCGTGCTTTTAAATGAGTGAATTTAAATGAGTGAATAAATATGCCTTTGTTTGGGGGGAAGGGAGCCTGGGGTTTCATCTACAGAATTTACTCAGTTCCCACCCTCACTCTCGCTTCTTTCAGGTCCCAAGAGCTCCTGATTGGCAAGTGACATCTGTGGGATGTGAGGCTGGTTGGAAGCCAGAGGTAAACTGCCAGGTCACTACCCCCACTATGTCACAGGTGATGTCCAGCCCCCTGCTGGCAGGAGGCCCCGCAGTCGGCTTGGCTTCCTGTGAGGAACCCAGGAGGGCCCTGCACCCAGCACCCAGCCCCGGCCTGCCGCCCCAGTGTCCTTACTACACCACAGAAGGCTGGGGAGCTCAGGCCCTGATGGCCCCCATGCCCTGCAAGGAGCCCCCCAGCAGGCTCCAGCAGGCCCCACAGGCTGGAGCCAAAGCCGGCTGCCTCCTGCAGTCCCCTGGGGAGCAGGCCTCGGGAGCCTTGGAGGACCTTGACTCCTACATTGACTTCTCGCTGGAGAGCCTCAACCAGATGATTCTGGAACTGGACCCCACCTTCCAGCTGCTCCCTCCAGGGCCTGGTGGCCCCTGGGCTGAGCCCACCCAGAGCACTACCTCGAGGAGAAAGAAAGAAGATCCTGAAGCTTTGGGTAAGGAACTGGGGCACAGTGCCAGGAGGAGGGCTTGGGGACCAGACCTCATGAGGAAGGAGTTTTCTATCAAATCAGAGGAGCAGGGGAGGAGTGCTGTGCAGCTCTAAACAAGTTACCTAACCTCCCTGTTTTCTCTGCTCTATAACAGAGATAAATATAAGTAGCCCTCACTGTCCAATTCTCTTTGGTTCTTGAGTTTGGAAAGTGATGGATACCTGTTTTATGTAATTTTTCAGAGAATTTAAATAAGCTAATATAGATAAGCATATTATACAATGCCATGTATATAAATAAGAACTTGATAAATGTGATGTCCCTGAATCTCACTGTTCTATGGTGTCTCTCTTAGGTCCTAGCCTGGGCACCCTGAAATTTTTATAGGAATGGTATTTTCACCTTACCCATAACAATAAATGTAAATAACTTCGTGTATAGGTAATAGTAAATATAGTAAATAATTGGGATGTGATGAATTTTTGAGTGTTTATTACTTTTGTTTTTAATATGTTATTTCATTGTAAGTTTGTGTAGTTTAATCTTTAGTAATGGTTTAGCCACTACTAAAGATTAAACTACACAAACTTACAATGTTTATGTAATTTAGCTGGAAAAAATCTTGAAAATTTGACAATCAGCTTTCATGAGCTGGTTCAAGCCAACTCCAGTATACCACCACGTCCACGCATATCCAGAAATCTCTGCATCTGCCTTCAGTTTCCCAAAGAGTTTCAAGTACACTTTGAGGATGAGGGTCACGGAGCAGCAGCCCCATTAGACAGGCTGGAAGACTGAGGCCTCCAGGGGTTTAATCAGCACGGGTTAGAGGGTGTGGTGAGGATTAGAGATGGGATCCAGGAGAATTTCTACTTATTGAGCATTTATCATTCTATCCAGGCACTGTGCTGAGCACTTAATAATTGAACCTTTGATCTTCCCAGTCCACCTCCATGAGACGAATATTTTATCCCCATTTTACAAACAAAAAGACTGAGGTTGATGGACTTGTGGAAGGAGCCAGTCTAGCCTAATCACTGGAATCAGGCAAACCTTACACAAGCTGTTTACTTCACTTCTTTGCGTCTCAGATTCTTCATCTGTAAAATAGAGATGAGTTTGCACCTCAAAGGGTATTGCAGGGATTGAAAAAATAACATTTCATGGGTGTTTATCACAAATCCTGGGACACCATAGGTCATGATAAATGGTGGCTGTTTGCAGTCAACATTGGGGTTGCGACTAAGACCAGCCCCAGGACAGGTTCAGGCTCTGGGGTGGAGGTCAGCCCGGCACACAGGTCCCTCTGGCAGCCAGGCTCCTGGTCTCCAGCCAGCCTTCTGCTCCTCCCATGGAGCACTGCCTGACAAGCCTAGTAGAAGAACCACCTCCAACCCTCAAGAGTCTTCCTGCTTCTTAAGGCCAGTCGTGGGCATGTCTCTGCAAGAAAGGTGACTTGGGCCTAATTATCGCTGGCAGGAGCCAGCCTAGGACTTTAATGCTCATGCCCCAGGGTAGGGCTTCCATACACTCAAGGCCAGCTGGGGCAAGACCAACCTCTGTGGGGCGTGCACTTGTACGGGGTAAGGGTGTTGATAACAGAGTCCTTCCTCCGAGGGACCGATGGGCAGTTGTCTGCGTTCTCAGATGCCCTGGGCACAACCTGCCATCTTGAGGATGTGTCCACCAGACTCTGGGCGGCAGGGGGTGCCAGAGAGCAGCAGTGGTCAGAGGGGCCTGATGAAGCCACCTAGCTCTGCCCTCGCTCCTTCTGATGGAATTTTTAAAAATCCTCTCCTCCAACCTCTGCCTGGACACCTGTGATGCCTGGGAGCTCACTATGTCCTCAGACAACCAGCAGGTCAGCTCCCCGTTAGAAAGTTCTCTTCCATCACTAAGAAGAGCGAGAGCCTGCAGGTCACTGGTGGCTGCACCTTGCTCCCCAAACCCTCCCCTCAACCACTGCTACTGGTGACAAAGCTCTCCCAGCCCACGGCACCACAGTGAGTTTTCATCCAGCCAAACGCATCCAGTGTGTAGAACTCCTCTGTTTGCACTCTCATCCATCCTACTTTCGGGGTGTTGAGTGGAAGACGTTCTGTAATTGTGATGCTAGCAGACGTTCACTGCTTCTCTTTGTCCTAACTTGGCAAAAGCAAAAATTAAACATCGGCAATCTTGTGTCGATCCCTCCCCTAAAAATGTCCAGATAGATTTTTGTAACACATAATTCCACCCTGTGAAGGAAATACTGGAAACCTCATTTACAGATAAGAAGACTGAGGCTCAAGGAGAGGAAGCGATGGCCACAGTCACACAGCTAGTGAGTGGTAGGTCAGCTCAAAGCCCAGCCCTCTGAGCTCCAGAGTCCACGTTCTTACCTTTCTCTCTTCCTTGGAGCTAGTTTCCTGCCCTCCAGGGCTTCAGTGAGGCTCCACCGCCCTAGTGCTCTCAAACCTTCATCGAGCTCCCTGCCTCTGCCTCTTGCTTACCTTCCTTCAGATTTACCCTGGGGGGGAGGGGGAGGGGGTACCAGTCCCACAGGGAACATGGCTTCTGGAAGCAAATACCATATCCCTTCCTTTATTCTCCGCCACCCCTCCCTATCTTTGGAACAGGCCCCCGCGTTTTATGTTCCAGAATTTCTGCCAGGCAAGGCGGTTTGCCAATCCCAAGTGAAGGGTGTTTAACAACCGTCTCTCCAACCCTCCACCCACCTGGCCTGGTGCCAGGCGCCTGCATCCACCCAGCACTGCTCAGACTTGCCCCACGGGCCTGTAAACAGCCGGCTGCTCCCAGGTGATAGGGTGGCGGCCCTCCACCTGCCCAGCCACATCCACCCCGGGGCAGCAGCGGGAGTGACTCACAGCTCTAGGACACCGCCCTCCCTTCCGGCCCGCCTCCACTTGCCTGGCCCCCAAGCAAGGCCTTTCTTTGGTAGGTGTTCGGATGACCCTGTGAGTAGGACCCAGAGCTTCACCAGGCCGAGAGACGCCCCCCCCTCCAAAGCAGTCAGGCACCTTCTCACGGTCAAGGTCTTGGAGAAGGGTCCTGAGGAGTCCCTCCCCGTGGAAGAGCCCACCCCGCCCCCAAACAGAGAACAGGAGCAGGGCTCAGTTTCTTCAACCCTTCTGAGCCTTGCTTTCTCGTCTGTTACATGGAATTAAGAATGTTTCCTACTTCGATCGAGTCATGAGTATTAAAAGAACTAACACGGGTAACGTGTCTGTAGCAGCGCTGGTGCACGGCACTCAGTAAATACCAGCCTTTATTAAAAACGGTGCAATAGGGCTTCCCTGGTGGCGCGGTGGTTGAGGGTCCGCCTGCCGATGCAGGGGACACGGGTTCGTGCCCCGGTCCGGGAAGATCCCACATGCCGCGGAGCGGCTGGGCCCGTGAGCCATGGCCGCTGAGCCTGCGCGTCCGGAGCCTGTGCTCCGCAACGGGAGAGGCCACGGCAGTGGGAGGCCCGCGTACCGCAAAAAAAACCCCAAAAAACAAAAAAAAAAACGGTGCAATAAATGTGAGCTCCACCGCCACGTTTCTCCAAGCCTCCGTTTCCTCCTCTGTAAAAGCAATGCCTGCTGGCACTGGGCATAAAGGCGCTTGTGAGGCTTGAGAGGATTATGGGTATAAACACCATAAAATCCTATTAAAAAAAAAAAAGTGCTTGCCAACCTCGCAGAAGAATCCACCCCATTCCAAGACTTCTTCTCTTTCAGAGCCCACAATACATTGTGCCAGATATTCTACTCTTGCCCTCAGCAGTGAGACCCCCACCTTAGCCAGAGAGTATTAGCCATCTGGCCAATACTGCCCCCCAGAAGCAGGCAGGCAGGAGATGCTCCTTGAAGCCCACCATGGACCATGCTCCAGGCTCCATTCATCGTGTATTTCATCCTCACCGCAACCTTGGAAGGGTGGTTTTAGATCCCCACTTTACAGATGAGGAAACTGAGGCTCAGAGCAGTTAGGAAAATTACCTGATGCTTCTTGGCAGGAAAGTGGCGAAGCCAAGACTCACACCCAGGTTTGTCGACAAAGCCAGGCCTGTTCCTCCACCTGCTGGGACAGCATGCCAGCGCCCCTCATCTGATGCAATCCTCCACCCCCACCTGGCCCACGCAGGCTCAGACAGAAGCAGTAGCCCTGAGCAGGGCCAGAAGGTCCTCTCCAGGAGCGGGCTGGGGCAGGCAGGGACTCCACAGTCACGCTGGGTGGGGGGATGGTGCGTGTGCCAAAGCCCAAGGGGGTGGGAGGCTGGCAGATAGGAGCCGAGGGTGCAATTTCCCACCGACTCTGCCCCAGATTCCATTTGGGGAAGCCAGAGGCAGGACTCACAGCCCTCCAGAGGGAGAAGCTGGGTAACCCCCATCTTCCACCACCTTTCCTAGAACAGCACCGAGGACAGCTCCCCTCCCCCAAGTCAGGAGGAGAGGTGCCCATCCTCACCATGGGAGAACCACAGGGTACCCCACTCTAGGAAGAAACAAGGTCTCAGAACAAGAGTCCTAGATGCCCCCACTGGTGAATGGAAAGAGCATCAGAGTGAGTCAGCAGCCTGGGGTGCTAAGAGGCCCACAGCTCAGTAAGGCGGCATGCCCTGCCCCCAGAGAGTTCTCGCTCTAAAGCTGACCCTAAAGTGAACTCCTCAACCTCCAAGGTGCAGCCAGATCGCCAGGAATCTCGCTAAAATGCAGATTCTGATTCAGCAGCCCTGGGGTGAAGCCAGAGATTCTGCACAACTTCCCAGCTCCCGGGTGGAGTGGTGCTGCTGGGCTGGGGACCACAGCGGTGTGGCCCAATGCACACTGGAATCAGCTGAGGAGCTAAGCCACCCTGAGGCCTGGGACCACCCCCAGAGGTTCTGGTCTAATTGGCACCGGACGGAGCCTGGGCTTTAGGACCTTTATAAGCTCATCGGGTGATTCTAGCATGCAACCAAGCTTGAGAACCCCTGCCTGCATTGCAGGCACAGACATAGAAATAGCCTTCACAGGCCTGAGTGATAGAGGCATCCGAAGATGTGACTGGTGCAGTCATTTCAGCCTGGGGAATGGAACCCACATGAACGAGAGGATCTCCCAGTTTTAAAGGACTTACTATGTGCCAGATGCAGTGCCCTGCTGCCTACATTCATCTCAGTCCATCCTTACTGTAACACTAAGAGGCTGCGTACAGCTGCCCCATTCTACGGGCGTGGAGACTGAGGCTCTAGGTGGTGAAGTCATTTGGCCAAGCTCTCTCAGAGAGTAAGTGGCAGAGCCAGATCTGAAACCCAGGTCTGTCTACCTCCAGGACCCGCGTTCATGGCACTGCCTCTCCCCACCCAAGGGAAGATGTCACAGAGAGGGTGACTTTGAAACTGGGCCCTGAATGTGGAGGTGAATGAAGGTGGAGCTGAATGCTGATCCCGATTCCAACAAACTTCTCTCTGGGCTTCAACTTCCTCATCTGTATAAGAAAGGGGAGGGGCTTCCCTGGCAGTCCAGTAGTTAAAACTCCGTGCTTCCACTACAGGGGGCACGGGTTCTATCCCTGGTCGGGGAACTAAGATCCCACATGCCGCACAGCTTGGCCAAAAATTTAAAAAAAAAAAAAAATATATATATATATATATATATATATATACACACACACACGTATCTATATGTGTGTATATATGTGTGTGTGTGTGTGTGTGTGTGTGTGTGTGTGTGTATATGTGTGTATGTATAAAGAAAGGGGAGACCAGATGGTCTTGAGGACACTTCCAGCATCCTTGTTCTGCGAGTCCAGTCTCCCTGGTTTCACCAATGCTCTGTTTCTCTCCCCAAAGATATAAAGTACATCGAGGTGACCTCGACCAGATCAAGGTGCCACGACAGCCCCCAGAGCTGCTCCAGCCCATCTGTCACCCCACCCTTGGACTCCCCTGGCTGTGGCGGCCTTCTCCTTTCCAGAGACATCCCCCGAGAGACTCGGAGCAACAGTGAGAGCCTCATCTTCTCCGGGAGCCAGGGCAGGGGGCACCAGCGCCCCTCTCCCCCTGCGGGGGCGCCCTCCTCTCATCCCCCACCTTCTCCCAGCATCTCCATCCCTGGAATGGGAAACAAGGCCTCAGGCCGCCATGGCTTGGGCTCCCCACTGGTGGCTTCCCCAGCCTTGGAGAAGGGGCTGGGGAGCAGGGTCTCCATGCTGTCAGCCAGCCCAGCATCTGATGTCAGTTACATGTTTGGAAGGTAGGTCACTCCCACTGCAGCTTCTGACGTTGCCTCCACAACTCACACACACACACACACACACACACACACACACACACAGAGACGCATCCTAAAATCACAGAGAGACACCCTACTCTTTCTGAGCAAAATCTGGGCATGTACCAAAAATAAAAGTGAATGTTCTCTTTTATGCCATCACAGCCATTTGGTTCTCAAGCTTTCCTCAAGCATTTAGAATATGATTCAATATACAAAAATCTTGACTTCTACCTACCTCTCGGGAAAAGGACCACACTGCATTAATGAGGCTCACCTGTATCCTTTCCAGCCTTCCTACAGCCCATCTGTAGGAAGGATTTTTTTTTCTTTTAATTTAAAAAACCCCAAACACAGGATGTAAACAGAATCAGGGGGTCTGGAATGAACCATCCAGGAAAGAAAAACCTCCTTCGTCTTTGTTCCTGGCAAAATCTAGCAGGAAGGAGACAAAACGGCCTGGGCATTATTTACAATCGCCCCAGCCCAATTCTCCGCAGGCCTCAGAGCAGAGCCACACGCATACCCTTCCTGCCCAGGAAGAGCAAACCCCAGGACCTCTGTCCCCCATACCAACTCCAGAGCCACTGTGCCAAGGCAGTCCCTGGCAAGGAGACTGGGATTCCACAGCCATGCCCGCTGGCACAGGCCTCTGAGCTCAGGGATAAGCCTGGCTGGATGCAGAGCTGGCCTCCTTCTCTTCCTCCAGCTGGGGAATTCCGTCTGCATGGGCCATGGACATGGTCCAGCTCCGGTCCAGCCTGTGTGCAGGACTCTTGGGAGCGCTGGGGGGCTGGTGTGACAACTCAGTTGGACCTGCCTAGCTGGGAAGGCAGAGGGAATAGAGTCCAGCCTAAGCCCATGTGACCTGCGGGGGGCCAACCCACTGGCTACTTTAATTGACCACAGACCCTGCAATGCAGGTACACTCCTGTATCCTTCGGCATCCCTTGGGGATCAAGTGGGCATACCCTTTGCTCAGGGCTATGGGGTAGGGGGGTTGGAGTATGCACTACTCTGACCAAAGCCATGGGTACCTAGATCACTAAATTCCAGAGTCTAGCTCTGGCCCCTAAGTGTCCACCCCCACCCGCTAAAACTCTGCCTGTCTGGTGCTCTCCCCATGCCACAGCCAGTCCCTCCTCCGCTCCAGCATCTCCAGCCATCAGTCATCTTCGAAATCCTTGGAAAGCCCCACCAGCTCTTCCTCCAGCCTCCACAGCCTTGGCCCAGGGTCCTTGTATACGAGAGCCAGTGACTTCCAGGTCCCCAGCCACCCCACCCCGAGCACTGGCCAGCCCAGAGCAACCCATTCCTCACCACTGGCCGAGGAACATGCCAGCAGCTGTCCCCCATCCATCACCAACTCCATGGTGGACATACCCATCGTGCTGATCAACGGCTGCCCAGAACCAGGATCTCCCCCATCCCAGAGGACCCCAGGACACCAGGACTTTGTCTGCCCTGGGGCTACTTCTTCCAGCAACCCCTGTCCAGCCACCAGGAGCCACAGCCAGACCCTGCCAGATGCCCCTCTCACCACATCCCCAGAGGGTAAGTTGTAAACCGATCAGTACCTCACACTTTATGAGGTTTGGCTAATGGGGAATAGACAAAGCACCAATGCATTTGCTTCTGCAACAGCAGGTCAACCAACACACTGATTAAGTATCTACTGTGTGCCTAGCACTGTGCCACAGAGTAGAGACACAGTCTAGAAAGAGAGAAAAAAAACAAAGGATCACTGTAGAGTGGGATAAACACAGAGGTAAAGAGATGTTCTAAGTCTTATGGGGCTACAGAGGAAGGAGTGAGACTTTTCATCTGGGAACTGAAAAGGCTGGAAAGTGGATCAGAAGTCGATGGCCAGAGCAGGAGAGGAAGGGCAGTCCCAGCAGAGGGAACATCCAGGCCATGGTCACGAAGGTATGGAAGCACGTGGCATGTTTAGGAAATGACTGGAATGTTGGGTGCGGGATGAGGTCATCGGGAGTAACTTGGGCCCAGATTGGGAAAGATCTTGAACGCCAAGCAAGAGTGCACTTTACCCTTTAGGCAATAGGGGACCATCGGAGACTCTCAAGCAGGAGAGCGATGGGGTCAGAGACACACGTTCAATCGATCACTCTGGCAGCTGCGTAGCAGATGGATTGCAGGGCCTGGCTTGGCAGGGAGAGCAGTTTTTCTTTGGTTCTGTTTGGGTTTTCATCACAAAGTGGTCCAGGGCAGGGCAGAGGGTGGAGGAGAGAAGACAGAGCCAGGAGACCCTCAGGATATGGAAGCAGCAGGCTCGATGACTAACCCAAGAGAGGGAGAGGGAGTCAGTCCTAACTCTGACATTGGTGGATGACGTTCACAGCCAGGGGGTGGGCAGGGTAACGGAGACAATGCATTCCAGTTCAGACAGCTAAAAACCACAAAACAGCAAACACCCTCCTTCCCGTAGTCCGTGACTACAGGCGTCCAAAAAGAACAAAAGGCCCAAAGCAGTAAACACAGAGGCTAAGCTCAGCACCCCCAGGGTGTTTCTCTCCCAGGAGCAGAGCCCACGGCTCCCTCACGGCTGAGCCACGAGGCTCCCGGGCCTCCCAGTCCTCCCTGGGCCACAGACGTCAAGGTACTCCTGGGGGATGTGAAATGTTCACTGTACCCCGCTGCTCGCTCCCACCCAGGAAGCCGCGTCAGCGCAAGCCAGAGAAAATTAGGTGACGAGTATGCCTTTGCAGCTGCTCTGATCTGTTCCTAGGACAAATCGTTTGCAGATTTCAGTACATTTTTTATAATGAGTTACTCTCAGCTGGCCACGACACACCTTTTCAAGATGCCGAAACTGAGAACCACTGCTCTCTGCCTTAGGGACCCAGGAAAATGGGCATTTAACATCTCAAAGAGCACATTTACTTAGCCTAAAGGGATTTTGCCCCTTTAGGCATCTGGAGATCCCACGGAGTAGGGGTAGGGGAGGGTGGGTTGAATGGCACTGCTGGGTGGAGGAGGGGGTCGGGTCTCTCAGCTCCCCTCTCTCCAGTCTACAGGGTCCCCCTCCTCTGTCTGTCTCCAGGTCCTGCCAGGGACATGCAGCCCACCATGAAGTTTGTGATGGACACGTCTAAATACTGGTTTAAGAGAAGCATCACCCGAGAGCAAGGTAAAAGGGAAGCCCTGTGTTAGGGGATGAGTGACCCAGGAATCAGGTCCTGGCACCCCACATGGGGCAGATGGGGCCCTGGGTCCATGTAGAGGAGGGAACGGCAAATGGCAGGTCCAGGGAAGGGGGGTGTCCCGTGAACCCCATGACCTGAGGAGATAATGACTGCAGCAGGAATGGTGGAGGTTAGACAATAGAAAGGACTTCCTGGGAACCAAAGGTGATTCTGTACCATCTGCTCTACGGAGACCCAATGGGGCTGAGGCGCAGAGGGTGTTCGGGTTCGGTGGGGACTGTCTCTGACCCAAGGATTGTTTCAGCCATCGAGCTGCTGAGGAAGGAAGAGCCGGGGGCTTTCATCGTGAGGGACAGTTCTTCATACCGAGGCTCCTTCGGTCTTGCCCTGAAGGTGCAGGAGGCCCCTGCACCTGCCCAGAACCGAACAGGTAGGCACCTGTCTCTGTCCTCACTCAAGACCTCTAGGAGGCAACAGGGTGTGGTGGGTTCCAGTCCCGGCTCTGCCCCTGGCTTGTGGGGTGACCTTGGGCCAGTCCCATAATGACTCCTGGGAGGAGGGCCTACCTCAGCCCCCTCCCCGCTGCTCCTCAGCACTGAGGCTCCCCGAGTCCCCAGATTCCCTGCTCTACCCTCGTGGTGGGAAGAGGAGGATGGTCCCAGCCCCCCTCCAGGCTGCTCTCTTCTAGGTGCCCACCTCTGTCCAGATCGGATTTCTTGTGAGGGAACCTAATGTAGTAATAACATGTGTGCTAGCTTAACCCCGCATACAACACACATCGATGGGGCATCCACCCTGCCCCAGGCACTGTGCAAGGCACCAGGGAGACCTCACTGGGGAGAGAGAGAGAAACAGATCATTACATTACAAGGTACCTGGGTCACAGCCCCTCACCTAAGGCCCAGGACTGTAGCTCTCACACAACAAATGGGTGAGGTAACAGACACTCCCAGAGGGAGTTAATGGCCCCCCAGAGCAAGGAAGTGATAGATAGAGCGAGAGGATTAAAAACCCCGTATCCACATTCTCTACACCACGCCTCTCTGTTTAAATAAGAAAGTGACCTCTGGGCAGTGTTAGTTATCAAGGAAGCCTTGCCAATGAGCCCAAAGAAAGCAGGAAGCTGCAGGCTGGTGAGGAGGCAGGGGCGTGGTCCCCCCTCCCAGGGCCAGCCTGGCGCCAGCAGGGACCATCTGGTGCAGAATAATAGCACCTGGGAGGGGGTGGGTAGGGAGAGAGGGAAACCAGGCCGGAGAGCTCTGATTTGATCTAAACAGCGCCGGCAGCCATCCCTGATGGCTGTTGAAACCGAAAGAAAGGTCTCCTGAAAAAAGAATTACTGGACACAGAAGCCTTTGAGCAAAGGTGTGGGCACCGCCTTCGTGGGAGGCCTTGAGGATAGGATTCCTACCCGCTGTCCCACCCAGAGGCAGAGGGATGGACAAGTTAACCTCCGGATGGGCCCCGAGGAGGCGGGTCAGGAAATGAGTCGCACTCCCATCCACATGCTTTCTCTGTCCAGGAGAGGATAGCAGCGACCTCATCCGCCACTTCCTCCTCGAGTCTTCTGCCAAAGGGGTGCATCTCAAAGGAGCCGATGAAGAGCCCTACTTCGGTGAGCTGAGCATCTGTAGCCCCCAGGCCCCTGGGGTGTGGGCGGCTGGCCTGGGGAAGGCCTCCTTATGCTGGGCTCCTGTTTCGTTGCAGGGAGCCTCTCTGCCTTCGTGTGCCAGCATTCCATCATGGCCCTGGCCCTGCCCTGCAAGCTCGTCATCCCGAAGAAAGGTGGGCTGGGTCCCCAGACCTGTTTGTTCTCAATAGAAAGGTTCCCGTGGGTCACTTCTCACCTTATTTAGGGATCACTTTAGTGGCATAGTTAAAAGTGCACACTCTGGGGGAATTCCCTGGCGGTCCAGTGGTTAGGACTCGGCACCTTCACTGCCGAGGGCTTGGGTTCAATCCCTGGTCGGGGAACGAAGACCCTGCAAGCTGGCCCACGCAACCAAAAAAAGAGAAAAGAAACAAAGTGCGTGCTCTGGAGTCTGTCCACGTCCCACTTCCTGGCTGTGAGAATTTGAGAAGGTCAACCTCTCTGAGCCTCCATTTCCTCATCTATGAAAGGAGCACAGTCACCATCACACCTCCTTCCAGGATTGGTGTGGGGGTGCAGCGAGAGAGCTCAGGCAAGGCTCCTGGCACAGTGCCTGGCGCAGAGCAGATCTTAAGAAATAGTAGCTCCTTCCTCAAGAGGATGAAAGGAGCATAAATCTGCCCGTTCAGTGAGGTTTGGTTTTTCCTTCTGGGTCCAGCGCTTACTGGGCACCCTCTCCTTCATTCACAGCTCACTCCAACCCTGTGAAGTAGGCAGTGCTGTTATCCCCATTTCACTGCTAAGAAAAGGAAGGTTCGAATTTGAACCGAAGTCTCTCTTGCTGTCTTGTTCCAAAGTGTTCAGGGAACTAACAGAGAGCAAAGGACACGGCTGTATCATGAAAATCAAGGAGGAGAATTATGAGAACAAATAAGTGATCAATGGGTGAAATTTGGGAAAGAAAGAAATAGAGAGAGAGAGAGAGAGGGAGGGAGGGAGGGACGGAGGGAGGGAAGGAGGGAAGGGAGGAAAGGAAGGTTCAAGGCATTAAGTAACTTGCCCAAAGGCACAGAGTCAGACCTCCACCCAGATCAGGAAGCCCCATCCGAAGCTTACAGCCCAACGCACCCCCAGACGTGCCCACACCTCAGGGTGTGCAGGAGAGCCACTAGGGGGGTTCTGGGAGAGGAGTCAGGGCCAGGGGAGCCCCTGGTGTGGTGATGGCGAGAGCCCCCCTGCTTTCTGCATTTGGCCTGGGTTTCCAGTGGGGTCCCAAAGAATGAGGAAGTCGGGGGCCTCTGAGGTCAGGTCGCTGCCGCAGTCCAGGGGCTGGAGGAGGGAGGGATCAAAAGGCTCGCCAGTGAGGCTTTTGGGGAGCCCGAGGCGGCTCTTTGCCTCATTACAGGAATCACACCTGGTTTCTCGGCCAAGTCACTTCCCGAAGGTGTGGGCAGAGGTGGAAGAGGTTCAAAGGGCTGCAGGAGGCCTGTTCCTAGGAGGGGGGGTCCACTGACTGCACCCCCGCCCCCTGGGGGCCTGTTCCATTGCTTTGGCTCAGAATTGGGAGGTGGAGACGGGGCCTCAGACCTCTCTGCAGACGGCCGGGCCTCCTGCCTGAAGAAATCTGCGGGTGAGTGGTATGGGGCAGGGGGAGGCTCCAGGCTTGGCTCTGCCCACCCCCCGCAGGGCACCTCCCAGCCCTGTGCACACTCGCACACGCAGGTCCACACGTGTTTCCCATTGCAGCTTTATTTCTTGTCTTTAACAAGGTGCCACATTCCTCCCCCTCCCTGTGAGCCAGGAGATGAGAGGCTGCAGGCAGTGGGCCAGGAGGAAGAGGGGCAGGAGAGGAGGGGCACAGTGAGGCTTACACCTCCTCCTGCACACACGGGTTGAGGGGGGCACACAGATGTGCTGGGGTCTCGCTGGGTCTGAAGGACCTGCCCTGGGGGTGGGATCCTCTGTGGAGTGTCAGGTCCGGGTCCTGGGGTCTTCTACAGGGGAAGGGTCGTTCCTCCTCGCGCCCAAGGGCCAGGCACGGGTCAGCACTTGTCTGAGTGACAGCTTCTACTCTGTGCCCTGAGCACGATGGCCCCCTCCCCATTCCTGTCTCCTCTTCCTTCTCTCAGCAAGGAACCAGGGCCCCAGGGGGAGGGTGGGGAGGGATGGAGGCAGCATCAGCCATGGGACGGAGGAAGGCTTGCCTGGACGCCCCTACGTACAGGGCAACATCCCCTCCCTTGCCCCCTGCTGGAGGGCCAGGGGCCAGAGCAATGCAAGCAACAGATGACCCCAAAGTCCCCTGGGGTTGGTCCCAAATTTCAGTGGCCCATACACTCCCTGCCCACCTGTCCGGTGGCTCAAAGAGGAGCCCTGCTAGATTTCCAAAAAAGGAAGGTACTCCTATCCCCTGGCTCTGGGCAGAGGGCCAACCAGGGCCTGGGTGACCTCCACCCCCCAGTGGATTCTAGCAGGGCTCCAATGCAGTATCTGCACCCCTCCCCCAGGTTGCCATGCCCTGTACCTGAGCTCCGTGAGCGTGGAGACCCTGAGTGGAGCCCTGGCTGTGCAAAAGGCCATCTCAACCACATTGGAGAGGGATGTCCTCCCCACACCCACCGTGGTCCACTTCAAAGCCACCGAGCAGGGCATCACCCTGACTGACATCCAGAGGAAGTAAGGGGCTTCCCTTGCCCTGGGGCTGAGGGCTGGGCAGGGTAAGCTGGAGGGAATGGCTGAGACTGCTGTGGAGGAGTAATGGAGATGGAGTTCAGGCTCCTGGACCCAGCAGGGTCAGTGACGTGCTGAGTGACTCCAGGCAAGTTCTCTGCCTTCTCTGAGCCTGAGTCCAATGACCTCCTGCCAAAGTCCCGCTTCGTCATGACCGATGGATTTGGAATTAACCAAGTCATTGGGCACTGATTCAATCTGTAGCCACTGATGGAACTTCTCCTGTAGGCCAGACTCTGGCTGACCCATGAGATCACTCCTTCCCAGGCTCAGGGATTCAGTCTAGCATGATCCTGGTCCTGGGCTGGAGGCATAAGAGATGACCAGATGCTGGGAATTCCCTGGTGGTCCAGTGGTTGGGACTCCGCACTTACACTGCCGAGGGCCCCGGTTCCATCCCTGGTGGGGGAACTAAGATCCCACAAGCTATGCAGCACAGCCAAAAAAAAAAAAAAGAGAGATGACCAGATGTAATTCCTATCTTCTTTAAATGACATGACAGGCAGTGGGGGTGGAGCAGGTGGTAGAAAACCCCAACATATAGGACAGAAGGGAGACGCACTTCATGAAAGGAGAGAAGTGCAAACGCATGCCCAGCCATGGGAAAGGTCACGGCAGCCTGTCAGGGGTCGTCAAACTGAGAGCTTCTTGGAAGACAGGGAGCTGGAGACGGTGGAGGTGAGGCAGGACACTGGGATGGGCTCTCACCAGCTCCCCTTCCCTCCCGGTCTCTTCCCAGGGTGTTTTTCCGGCGCCATTACCCCTTCGCCACCCTCCGCTTCTGTGGCATGGACCCCAAGCAACGGAAGTAAGTTCAAATCTAGCCACACTAAGAAGACCCTGGGATTCGGATCCCAGACAGAGCCTGTGAACCTCAAGGGGTCAGGAGCAACAGAATGAGGGGGAGGGGGACATGGTGGGAGCGGGGACAAAACTGGCCATTATCTCCCGAAGCTCAGCCAGACTCCTGTGAAATGGAGCAAAGAATCGGTACTCAGAACTGTCGTGTTCCTTTCCCACAGGTGGCAGAAATACTGCAAGCCCTCCCGGTAAGGCCTTCCTGTCCACTCAGTCGCCATGAGAGGTCTCCCTCGGGGAGGCCTGGACCCAACATGGGGAGGGAGTGAGGGAAAGAAGGAGGCCCCGCCCTGATCTTAAAAGCCCATGGGTTTGATGGCGGATGGCACAGGCCCCGGCCCTCAGGGAGCCACCAGTTTGATGTCTTATGTGGGAGGCGCAGGCTTTAGTCTGTAAGGATGCCTCAGGCTGATGGCCAAGACACACCTTCGCCCTCAGGAAGCTTCGACTCTGATGGGGAATACACAGGTCGTGTCCTCAGGCGCCCCCATTCCAAAGGAGGGAAACCCAGATCTTAAACTCAGGGATCTCTCGGTCTGACAGGGGAGGTTCCTGTCCTAATGAGGTGCTGGGCTGGGGAAGGGCGGGGAGGAGAGCTGCTCCCAGCCTGGTACCTCCCTGGGTCCCACCCCTCACTCAGGCTCTCCTCTCCCATCAGGATCTTTGGGTTTGTGGCCAAGAGCCAGACCGAGTCACAGGAGAATGTGTGCCACCTCTTTGCGGAGTATGACACTGTCCAGCCAGCATCGCAGGTCATCAGCCTGGTGGGTGCTCTGCTGCAGGACCCAGAAAGGATGTAGGGGAGGGAGCTTCCTGTGTGTCTTCCTAGGCACCCCAGTGGGCTTGCTCAGGATGCCCCCTCCAGCCTGAGCAAGAGGCCTCTTACCACCCCGATGGACCAATCCCCTGGACTGGAGGAGAACGGTTGAAACCCTTGAACTCAGTATGACCTTCAGCGGTGACCTTCATCCAGACCCCCCCCAACCCGGGCCTCAGTTTCTTTAACCTTAAAGGAGGCCCACAGCAGGATCAGCTGTTCTTCTCAGACGTCTGTGGGCATCTTAACAAGCTCCCTGTGATTCTGAAGCACACCCACATCTGAGGACCCCCACACGAAAATAACCTCTGAAGACCCCTGACTCCATCCTCCTGGACACTCCGGACACAGTAGCCTGAGCTAGAGACCCGTGACCCCTGCTTCAGGCCAAATGCAGGTACGGGGTCGGGACTCCTGGGCCCTGGTCCAAGGCTGGCCTGAGAGCAGATGGGTTGCCAGCACTGAGGACCAAAGGAGGGATGGACTGACTCTCTTTCCCTCCATATCTGTTCCTTTCCCCATTTCCCTGACAGCATATTGAGCTGCTATTCCCAGGGCAAAGCTAGATCCGCCTGCCCTGGATTCTTCAGCCAACATGGCCCTTGTTGCTAGGCAGGTTAACAAGTGTAAACTTGCCCCCGTGGTCAGAGATGACCCCGCTGTCCTCACGATCTTGATGTCTAATCCCTTCCATTGTCCTCACGATCTTGATGTCTAATGCCTTCCATTGCAAATGAGCATCAGCTCCATCTTTTCTTTCAGTTTCTCATAAGCGACTGTCCCACAACTGCCCTGGTGTTACTTGTGTCACTCACACCTGGGGGTGGCGGCAGCAAGACCTCTGCTCACTCAAGCAGACACAGGAGCTGGCTCTCTCTGGTTCTGCCTCAGCCCCAGTCTTGCTGAGTCCTCTGTGCTCCAACAACACACACACACACACACACACACACACACACACACACACACACACA